AGGCTCCGCCGCCGCCTGCGAGCTGGTGCTCACCACCATGCACCGCTCGCTTATCGGCGTCGACAAGTTCCTGGGCCAGGCCACGGTGGCGCTGGACGAGGTCTTCGGCGCAGGCCGCGCCCAGCACACGCAGTGAGTGGGGGCGCGGGGTCGCAGGAACGGTTAAAGGCCTCGCCGGGTGGGGCTGGTGGTGGGTCAGGACCCCGAGCCTCGCCAGGGCCACGAGCCCCGTGCCTCGCGCTCAAGGGAGTAAACCGACAGACAAGTTGGTGCTTCCCATTTGGGATCCCTTCCTGGACCCCTAAACGTGCGCTGTGTGGGGCTCGGCTGCTGGTGGGTCCCTGGGAGGCTCGGGGGAGGTGTAAGTGCCCGCCAAGCGTTAGACATAGATTGTCAAGTAAAGTTAGGAATGTGATCCAGAGGCTTGGGGTTAAGAAGGGAATCTTGGGTCCATCTGGGCCTGTCTTCCTTTCCTCAAAGGGGAGGGCAACTGCAGGCGCCTGCTCCATGCTGGGCCCACGGGGGAGTGGAGAGGCGCAGCCAGATGTCATCGACCCGAGGCTCCCCACCAGACCTAAATAAAGACTGGTTGCAGAGGACATCTGCCTCTTGCCTGGTTTTTCCATGCTGCTCTCCGTCTGGACATGCCTCCTTGGACTTGCCCCTCTGTGTCCCTGGTTTGAGGACAGAAGGACTTCCTAAGTAGAGGAAAGAAACACTTGTGTCAGCCTTCAAGTGGCCTGCCTGTCCAGTCTGTCCTGCCCTGCCCAAGATAGAGGCAGCAGCCTGGTTAATGCACAGCAGGAGACTATCTCCAAGTCACTTCCACCTAGATGGGGCCAGTGGGTCTTTTAATCATTTATTTTGGCAGCATTTCACCTTGCCTGTGTTAAGATCAAGGCTTCAGACTTGGAGCCCCATTTCCTGTTTTGTGCTGGGGCGGGATCTGGAGGCAAGTCCCCAGGGCGGACAGCCTGTTGTGGATCACTCAAGTGGTTAACTTCCAAGTGACTTGGGTGGGGAGTGTAAGGGGATTAGGCCAGGGGTGTCCCCTAGATGGGGAGAGGTGCCGGAAAGGATTACCCAAGTGAAGTGTCATCCTCTGAGTAAATCTAGGAAGGCTTGCTGGAGCAGAGGAATGATCCTTAAGTCTGTTACAGACCCAAATTAAAGTAGAATTTGGATAGAAAATTCTGACCTTGAACGTTTTCCAAAACGCGGGTAGGGGGTGGCCTTCCTGGCTGGCTCTCTGTGGCCTGGATTGGGAGTGGGTTTAGTGCAAGGCAGTTTCCAGGCAGGGCTGTCACCTGACTCTATCTCCCCCTCCCCTGGCCTGCTCCCTTCCTTCCTTCATGACTTACTGTTTGGTTGCTGGGTGTGGGATCATGTGGTATGGCTTGGCCCTTGTTTTGTTTTTTCCTCCGCTTTTCTGTCCTCTCCCTCCTTCCTGGCTCATGGAGCCCAAGGGGGTGGGTGTGGGGCCAAAACCTCTCCTGTGGATCTCTTAGCCCATTTATTTCTTCCAGAAGAGGTTCCTGTCCTCAAATCATCCCACCCCTTCCCTTAGTCCTTCAGTCTCCACCACTCAGCTACTCTGACCCAACTGGTCGATGACATATCGAGTGGGGGGAACAGACAAGCAGATTTTTTTTTAAGGCTCTAGGCTCTCAGGCAGGGGTTTTCTTTGAATCTTTTTTTTTTTTTTTTCCCAGTTCCTGCCCATGCTTTCCTTTTGGCCTCTGGATCTTCCTTAGCTGAGCTGGCCGAGCCTGTAGGTCCAGGTGGGCCTATTTTCAGCCAAAAACAGTTTGTCTTGGAAAATTTGACTTGCCACCCCTTGATCTGAATTTGATTTACTTAATAGAAGTCATCTTTTCCGCCAGGATCTTTCCACACCCACCTGCCTGTCTTTCCTCTGATGCATTGACCTGAGTTATTTATAGAACCTGGAGGGGGCAGGAGTGGGAAAGGACACTTAGTGTGGGTAGAGGAAAAGTCTGTGAAATTGGCCTGATCCTCTAGTTCACCAGTCCTAATAGCATGCCCACTGACAGAGGGTGAGGGCTGCCACCCCTACTCTGGTCCCCACCTCCCACCACTAGCTCTAATGACCGCTGCTGTTGGCATTTCCTGGAGCGCCCTGTCACAGGCTGCTGAGACAGTGAGTTCGAACATTGTCTAGTAGGAAGTGGGTAAGGCAGAGAAAACTGGTGTACCCTCTTCAACTTTGGGTAATGGTACAAAATGACTGAATCTACTTTAGCTCCAGGAGTTGTCTGTGGTGGTCTCAGGGAGGGCAAATGATGTCCTTGTGCCAAAAAAGAGCCTGAGTGGGGAAGGGCACCCTCCTGGTCAGGAAGGGGCTGTGGAGTTGCACTGAACCGATAGATCCCACTCACAAAGCTGCGACCTGCGGCAAGTCATGCAAACTCTTGGTGCCTCAGTTTTCTCATCTGTAAGATGGAGGTAATCACAGGACTGGTTGAGGAATGAAATGAAGGTGCAACTGAAGCACCTAGTGCAGTTCCTGGGCATGGTAGTGGTCAGTGCACAGCAGAAATGGTAAAGGGAGGTTTTGGTAACAATGTCTGGTAGCCCTGATCTAGAAGAGTTCTCCTGCCCAGGAAGAGTGTCTCTGGTAATGAGGGAGACAGTCCAGAACTTTGAGCTTGGAAAAAGCCCCAGGGCCATGGGTGGCAGGGCACACACAGGAGTACAAGCATTCCCAACAAAATGAGCTGGCCCTTCGCAGCTGCCTGCATTCTTTTTGCTGTTAGAGGCTTGAAAGCTGGGGCTGGATTTGAGCCCTCTGCAGTCCCGAAGCCAGGCTCAAATCAGCCTGCAGCTCTGCAGATATCCTCCATGGCAGCCTCGCCTGGAGCTGCCCCTGCCCTGTTGAGAAGACAGAATGGCACAGGGCTTAAAAACCTGGACACTGCGGTTTCACTCTGAGTTCTGGGACTTACTAGCAGTCAGCTTACTTAACCCATTTCCTGATTTCTAAAAAGGTCATGACAATAATAATAGAGTTGTACAGATTCAGACACCATCTGTAAGTGTCTTAGTATAGGATAGTTCTGGACACATGGATGTTTTATTATTATTATTATTGTTATTTGAGTTGGAGTCTCACTCTGTTGCCCAGGCTGGAGTACAGTGGCATGCTCACGGCCACCCCTGCATCAATCCACTGGGTTCTGTGTTTGTCTCTTTGACGTCCAAGACATGATTCTTCTGCCTCAGCTTTCCAAGTAACCGGAACTACAGATGCACTCTACCACACTTGGCTAATTTTTAATTTATTGTAGAGACGAGGTCTTGCCAAGTTGCCCGGGCTGGTCTTGAACCCTCAGGCTCAGGCAATCCACTCGCCTCGGCCTCCCAAAGTGCTGGGATTACAGCGGAGCCCCCGAGCCTGGCCCACATGGATGTTTTAAACATATTCATGTCAGGGTTACTCTGGGGTCTTACTTTGTGTGTGTGAGGCTAGTGGCTGGGTTTCTAGGGGCGTCAGCAACCTCTGGAGGTCCTTTGTCAGTGGGGCAATCTTTAAGGTGAGGAGTTTCACTGGAGGCTTCCAAATAATGGAAGAGGAAATCCTCAAAAGAAAATTTTACATAGTATACAAGGAAACTAATCATCCTTCTCTCCCTTAAGTAAAACTGTCCATGAATTGTATGGTTCCTGTGAGTCTGGGAATCCTAGGGATGCTTCTCTACTATTTGCTTTCTTTTCTTTTTTTTTTTTTTTTTGAGTTGTTGGAGTCCTATTCTGTTGCCCAGGCTGGAGTACTGTGGCACGTTCACGGCCACCCCAGCATTGACCTCCTGGGCTCCAGTGATCCCTTCACGCCAGCCTTCGAAGTACCTGAAACTACGGGCGCGTGCTACCATGCCCGACTATTTTTTATTTTTATTTTATTGTAGAAATGAGGTCTCACCAAGTTGTCCGGGCTGGTCTCTAACCCATAGGCTCAGGTAGTTCACTTGCCTCGGCCTTCCAAAGTGCTGGGATTACAGACTGAGCCACCGAGCCTGGCCTATTTCCTTTCTTATTTTCATCTTCAGCATCCTTCCCAGTATTCCCCAGTGGGTGTCCTGTGTTTGTCTCTTTGACGTCCAAGACATGATGGTTAGTTCTCTTTGTTCTCTGTGGGGTCAGATGGGTCCTTTGGACTTTTTGGCCTTTATGCTTTTGATGTGGATCACCAAAAGCATGCCCTGAGGGAATGGCCCTGAGCGTATCTAAAGCGGGAGAAAGAAGCAGCAGCAAAAGTTTTGGAGTGAGAAGATAGGGAAACTTCCAGAAGGGCCATTTTGGTTGGAGGGACCTGCTCTGTGCCCTCTGGAGTTCTGGTTTGTATGTCTTTGGGGAAGGAGCAGGCACAACCCTGTGATTTGGAGCCCCTGTCCACCTTCTCCTGGTTTTAATATGAGTTGAAATAGCCTCTGCAGTAAGGACTGGAGTATGGAGGACAGGACCATTGTCCTGGGCCTACTGGATCAGTAGTTAAGATTGGCCTCTTGGGAAAGCCAAGCTTTTGTGAGTTCAGCTTGGGTTGGGATCAGTTTGTCTTTGTTCATCACAAAAACTAAAACTGTTGTGACCATGGACAGGCTGCTAATAGTGGCCCCCAAGAGGCTCTGTTAGCCCCGCTCAGTCTGTGCCACTGGTTTTGGCGGGGGAGCTCATGGGGGATATGGCTGTTCAGGTTGTGGGTCTGAGGCCATAACCTTGTGCTTGGCTGGTCATGTGTTCTGAGACCTCCTTAAGTTAGGAAAATGAGTTTGGGAGCACTGGGAGGCACCTGAGAGGAAATGCAGCGTTGGTCTGGGTTGGGATGGTCTTTGAGGACTTCCATCTATCCCTCAGCACATGTGAATGACCCCACGGTCTTCTCTCCACTGGTTTCTGGGTGCTCGGGGGTTCCTGGCTGTGGAGCTGTTGGGGAAGTCTGCTTTGGCTACCGGGGAAGGGTGTGGTTGTACTCAGAAGCCAGTCATTAGGACGCAGAGGCTCCATCTCCCTTAGTTATAGGGCAGTTTTTATTTGGGGTTGCTTGAGCAGCAGCGTCTGGGGGCATGGGGCGGGGTAGGAAGTATGACTCCTCCGTCAGACAGGGCTGCTTCTTC